ATACAACTGACCAGGGTGGTGAAAAATCTCTACAATGAGAACTTAAAATATTGCTCAGTGAAATCAAAGACTACAGAAACAAATTGAAAAATATTCCATTCTTGTAGATAGAAGGAATCAGTATCATTAAAATGGCCATACTGCCCAAAGCAAAGTACAGATTCAATGCCATTCTTATTAAACTACTAAAGATATTATTCACAAAACCAGAAAAATATATTCTAAAATTCATATCAAACCAAAAATGAGCTTGAATAGCTAAGACAATCCAAAGTAAAAAGAAAAACCTGAAGATATCACATTTCTTGACTTCAAACTATACTATAATGCTACAGTAACCAAAACAACATTGTCCTGGTACAAAAACAGACACATAGACCAATGGAACAGAATAGAGATCCCAAAAATAATGCAGCATACTTATACCCATCTGATATATAACAAAGTAAATAAAAACAAACAATGGAGAATGGACTCCCTATTCAGCAAATGAAGCTGGGATAACCGGCTATACATATGTAGAAAAATGAAACTGGACCCCTTCCTTACACCATGTACAAAAATGAACTCAAGATGGATTGAAGACTTTAATGTCAAACTTAAAACTATAAAAACACTGGAAAATAACCTAGGAAATATCATTCTGAACATAAGCCCTGGCAAAAATTTCACAACAAAGATGCCAAAAACAATTTTACCAATAGCAAAAATTGACAAGTGTGACTTAATTAAACTAAAAGAGCTTCTGCATAGCAAAAAAAACCATATAAACAGAGTAAACAGGCCACCTACAGAATGGGAGAAAATGCTTACAAACTATGCATCTGACAAAGGTCTAATATCCAGAATCTATAAGGAATTTACAAATCAACAAGCAAAAAGCAAACCACCCCATTAAAAAGTGGGCAAAAGATATGAACACACACTTTTCAGAAGAAGACATACATATGGTGAACAAGCATATGAAAAAAATGCTCATCATCACCAATCATGAGAGCAATGCAAATCGAAACCATTATGAGACACCATCTCACACCAATCAGAATTGCTATTAAAAGTAAAAACAAAGCAAAACAAAACAAAAAACAAAAAGCGTGCTGGCGAGGTTGAGGAGAGAACAGAACAAAGCAGTTTGGCGATTTCTCAAGGAACTCAAAGCAAAATGAGCATTTGACCCAGCAATCCCATTTTTTAGGTATATATTCAAAGATAAATAAATTGTTGTACCATAAAGATACATGCACGTGTATCATTAGTATCATACTATTCACAGTAGTAAAGACATGAAATCAATCAACCTAAATGCCCAACAATGGTCAACTAAATAAAGAAAATGTGGCACATATATGCCATGGAATAACTATGCAGCCATAAAAAAGAATGAGATCATGTCCTCTGCAGCATCATGGATGCAACTAGAAGCCATTATCCTAAGTGAACTAACATAGGAACAGAAAACCAAATACTGCATGTTCTCACTTTGAAGCTGAAGGTAAATGTTGAGTACATAGGGACACAAAGATGGGAACAACATACATTGGGGGCTGCTTGAGGGTGGACAGATGGAGGAGAGTGAGGATAAAAAAAAACTACCTATAAGGTACTATGTTTATTACCTGAGTGGCAAAACAATCTGTGCAATCAAATCCTGTGACACACAATTTACCTGTATAAAAAACTGCACATGTATCCATGAGCCTAAATTAAAAACTTTAAAGAAAGAAACGTGTTGGAAATTACTTAGAATCATTTGAATTACTCACCTGAGCATGCCATAAACCTTTTGAATTAAAATAATAATATGTCTTCAGTTACAAGACACAACATATGTTAAGATATAACATTTAATTTATTTTATTTTTTGAGATGGAGTTTCGCTCTTGTTGCCCAGGCTGGAGTGCAGTGCCGTGATCTCAAATCACTGCAACATGCATCTCCCAGGTTTAAGTGATTCTCCTCCCTCAGCCTGTTGAGTAGCTGGGATTAGAGGTGTGCGCCACCACGCCCAGTTAATTTTTTGTATTTTTAATAGAGATGGGGTTTCATCATGTTGGCCAGGCTGATCTCAAACTCCCAACCTCAGGTGATCCACCCGCCTCGGCCTCCCAAAGTGTAGGGATTACAGGTATGAGCCACCATGCCCAGCCAAGATATAACATTTATTTACTAAAGTTTTATGAGTTACAATAGCAAGGACATGGAATCAACCTAAATACTCATCAATGGTGAATTAGATAAATATAAAAGGGTACATACACACCATAGAATACTATGAAGCCCTAAAAAAGAATAAAATCATGTCCTTTGCAGTAACATAGATACAGCTGGAGGCCATTATTCTAAACAAATTCAGGAACATAAAACCAAACACTGAATGTTCTCACTTCTAAATGGTAACTAAATATTGGGTACTCATGGACATAAAAATTGACACTGAAGATTAATAGACAGAAATTGGGTGGGTTAGGAAGTGAAGAAGCAGGAGTTGAGAACCTAATTATTGGGTACTATATTCACTATCTGGTTGACAAGGTCATTCATATCCCAAAACTCAGCATCATGCAATACACTTATGTAACAAATGTGAACATGTAATGCCTGAATCTAAATAAAAGATGAAAATGTAAAATAAGACACTAAAAAAAGAAAAGGTAGTGGAATACTTCCTGTGTTTAACTGTGATTGCAGAATTATCTTAAAAAAATAAAATCCAAACCCCAAAATTTTGGGGTCAAGAACATTAACCTACTGGAAAAATATAGTTATATTAATTATGTATTGGTGAAATATTTTTTCACATCATTACTTTGTTGTCTAAGAAAACTAGTAGCATATATCTAGCTATTTAGCAGCACAACAGCCAAACAACGACCTAAGAAAAGTGAATTCTTCTTCCATCATTTCAAATAAAATAAAATCTTATTTGTAGTCCCTATAATATGAGAATTGCAGAAAAGTTGCCTATGACCTTGTTTACCTTATGACCCTGGATACATATAGTCTTCTACTAAGGTCCCTCAGAGACATTCGTGTTGCACATGCATAATCTAAATGATCTCACATAAATGTACTGGACACTAAAATAAAAAAAAAATAAAAAAAGAAAGAAAAAGAGAGTAATCTTCAGGAACGTTGTCTTATTTTAGGCAGAAATGTATCTGCACCGTCCCACCGTCTTCAGGTAGCCAACAAAATCCAAATGATATGGAATTGTTAGTAAATTATCATACGTAAATTCTGCTAAACAATTCACCTTAAACACATAATGGACTGTAACTCTAACCACTTCAAAAGAACAAATGAAAAAGCATTGACGGGAACAAAATACAACCTGAAAATGTAATACTGACAAAGTTTAAGTAAACACAGATGCCTAGAGGTATCTGCATGATCTCCAGGATTAGATAACCTAACAAAGCTGGCAAGTCATGTAACTTTGATTACACTCAGCTATTACACGTTTTTAGTGATTATATGAATCATAAATAGTACCAACATGTAGTAGACAATATGTAGTTGCCAATATTTCATTCTAATCCTATGGTATGATCCTGCAACTAAACATTTATTAAAAATGTCCACATCTTTCCACATTTTTCTATGTAAGCCCATAGATTTCATTTTTTTTTTTTTAACATAGAAACTTGATATCTATGGTCACCTGGTAAAATCTGAGCCATAATTATCAATAATATTTTTGGGGGTAGAACATAGATACAACTGTGAATGAAATATAAACCAAAATATCTATAGTAAAGTTAAATTGTTTATTCAATTAATTACTCATATTCATCTATTTTAGGCATGGCCATTGAAATACTCTATAAGCTTCTTTGCAAGTGCTTCATTTATCTTAGAGATCTTCTGTCTTTTTCCTCCCTCCACTGCCCTTGCTCTGGGCAGGTATCTCTATTTCTTTCTGACCAGCCCTTTTTCATCATTCAAAATCTATTCTGGAAGCAGAAAAAAACCACTTTAAATAGGACTCTTTCAAGTTTCTATTTTCTTCCCTTACCAAAACAAAAATTTTTACAACATACCATGATAGTGAATGAACTTTTACTTTATATTGCCTAAGAAATTACTGCCATGTAAAGTCATTTTTTTAGTAATATACCCATTTAGTAAAGTAACTTGAGGATTTTTGTACGTGTATCTTTGTATTTGAAGTAAATTTCTCAATATGGGATTCAGATGTCTTGTATAAGAATCATCTGTGTACTTTTCTCAAATGCTGATGTTTATGATCGGGACAGGTCCTTCTTTGGGGAAGGAGTAGAGAAATCTGGAAGTTTAAGATGACGCTCAGATGATCATTGTATGTACTACTATTTGAGGACTGATCAACTTATAGTACTTCTTCTCATATCTACTTTTAAGTTGTTTCTTAAAAAATGACTAGAAATTCAAAAGGTTAAAAATGCCATGCTCTTTCAGGCAATCATCTGGCATAGGGTATTATAATAAATGAGATAACAAATCCAGAGTGGTTAACAAAGTCCGCAAGGTCATAGAGCTTAAAAAGGGTTGAGCCAGAATTTAGCCCCAATTCCATCTAACTTGGAAGCATATTTCATCCCAGAGGTTTGGGCCATAAATTAATTTTAGGGCCTAAGAACTCTTGGCCCTTCAGAGTCATTTACAAAATTTTTTTAGTTGAAGGATTTGTACCAAATAATTATGCCTGATGCTGTGGAATTTGAACTAAAATCTAGTCTAGAGAGGTTATGACTTGATGGAGAGCTGACGCAGACTCAAATTTCCATGGTCCTTGTACTCATATTTAGTGCCTCTTTAAAATTGATCTTTTACAGTCAAAAATATAGTTATTTCTTATGTATTCATAACTATTTTCCGTTGGAAAAATCCATGTTCTGGGTCTGGTACCACTGTGTCATTAGGAATTATTATCAAAATATATTTATAGGTATAATAGAAGAAACAAAACCTACATGTATAAAGAGAAAAGCAGGCAACCAGAAGTCATCTTTCGTCCTTACCTTTACAATCACTGTGACAGTAGCAATACCAGGAGGCATTGTCCCATAAATATCAAAGGCCTCTACCAGAAAAGTGATACTTGCTTCTTGGTCTGGAAATGCCTCATAATCTAAACTCCTTAAAAGGGATAGTTCTCCTGTAAATGGATGTAGTGCAAAAAAATGCTTCACTTCTGGGCTTCTTATCCGGTAAGACACATTTGCTCCAAGGTCGACATCTTTGGCCTGTAATAAGCAAAAGAATGGTTTTATTAGTGATGTTACCAAAATAAAGAAATGCAGGAAGGATGGAAGTCATGTGTCAGTGCCTAGGACAGCATGAATTTAATGAGGACAAAAAGACACGTTTTAAAAGAGAAATACATTATTTAATAATTTACCAGAGAGAGGGAAGGAGGGATGGAGGAGAGAAAGACGGAGGGAGGGAGGAAAAGAGGGAGGCAGTGAGAGGGAGAATCAGAGAAAGAGAGAGAGAGAGAGACAGAGAGAGAGAAATACTCCCATAAGATTTTGTCATTGTCGATGTTATTACTTTATCTATTTAACTTGAAAAATCACTAAATGAATTATATCCCAGTAAAAAAAAAAAAAGTCTTAAATGATTACTTCTTATTTTCTGCTGATTTAATAATCATGAACAAATATATTAAATAAAAATAAACACTGAGTGATTTCCATAAACATAATGGATGGCTAAAGTACTATAAGAAAACTAAGAAAATGTAAGTAGTAATTCTTTTTCACAGTGATCTTATAATACATTTCTAGAGATCACTCTACTATACTTCCCTTCATTTAACTAGCATTTCAGTAGTAGTTACACACAGGTGCTGTAGAGAGCACCAAAATGAATCAAGACACAATTATTTCCCTACAGGTTATGGTCTCAGAGAAGAAATGAGACACAAATACTAAAATAGGAAGGAAAAAATGTGACATGAAATCTAAAAGATGTTCTAAATTGGGAACGATGTCCTTTAGCTGAAAGGATGGGTTTTCATGGGAGTCTTGTAGAATGGCTATTTCACTCAGTACAGACTAGCAAATGCACCTCAGGTACAGAAAACCAAATGGAGCAAGAATGAAAATGGGGAAGATTCAGAGTATGTTTTAATGTGCATACTTTAATGCAAAATATCCTATGTGAACCTCAACCTTAGTCTCCTCCAATCAATTATTGACTTAACAATCAGAAAGATGCTATTAAAGCATACATTTTATTATGTGCTTTTTCCTGCTTAAAATCCTCTGGTTTTTAATTCAATTTTCAATCAACGCCACTATCCTTAACATGGTAAGAGTCACTACATTTTCTAGACTTTTAGCCCCTCACCCCTCACACTTTCCCGTCTTCCATGATTTTGACCAGACTTTTTTTCCTCCACTACTTTAAACAATCTTTCTTCCATTTCCTCTTGAATATCTCTTACTTGTCCCTCAGTTCACCATTTAGAAATAAGTTTCTCTTTGTTTTAAGATTAGGTTAGGAGCTCCACCTCTGTTACCTAGGCCCTTTGTACTGAGGACGTACGTTTTAACTACTAATTTTCTTGACTGATTGCTAAACTAGCCTGAAAACTCCAAGAAAGCAGCAGATTTGTTTTGTTCACCATTGTATCCCCAAAGTCTGTGGATCCCCTAGGACAGCATGAATTTAACGACACTGGCAGGAGACTTTGCATACTGTACATACTGAAGACATGTTTGTTAAATAAATATATTAACTAATTAATTATTTGATAGATGAATGGTGGAATAGATGAAGGAATGATGGTTCTCTCCCTGGTCAGTATTTGCCTTATTTAGACTTGTTAATGTTTATTGCTGAGTTCAATTATGGAAGGGATACAGAATCTGGAAAACTGTGCTAAGAACATTCAAGTTGTGGACTACAGGTGGAAAATTGGCTACCTTTATTTTTTTCCCCCCAAAACATACCTCATAGACCAACTGAGTCAGTATTAAATGAGGTGGCTGCTTAAAAATGCAGATTTATGGATCAGCCTAACCTACTGAATCAAAATGTTCAGGACTTTTTGTAATTTATAGTTGAAAACTTAAAAAAGAGGCTTGATACAGAGATGTTATTAAAAAGGAGAGTTAGATTACTAGAAGATGCCTTTTGTGTATTGAATGTGAAAAAAATACAGAATAATGGGTAACGATATCTGTAAAATAGAGGGGGAACCAATATGTAACTCTGTGTTTTTCCTGTGTATACACATTTATGTTATATATGTACAACCCACACAAATGAATATATATATATACACACACATACACACACACACATTTTTTTTGACATTTGTGTGAACACAAAGACAAATGTGAAATAAATTTAATGCTGAGTATTCTGGAGGCACAATGTGGGAGATTATTAACTTTTGTTTCATAAACTATTGTATTGTCAACTGTTGGGATAAACAGAATATTACTTTTGTAAATTAAAAAATCTATTAAAAAGTATTTTTAAAATTTCTTACAAAGAGACCTTTCTGTCTTTAATTTTTGGGGTATCTTTAAAGTAGGGTTGCCACACTAAATACAATATGCAATTGTCCGGAGCTGCGCGCCGCGGCCATAGCGAATAATAACTGACGATTAAAAACGCCTGAGCTCTATTCATTTCCACCCCATGCCTCCTCCCTAGATTTACCTTTTTCCCTGATCTGCTGTTTCATATGCCAGCACAAGATGGCGCTCTTCCTGCTTCTTCTTCACCCATTTTTCCCGCGCCCGCGAAAATTGTTACTTTGTAGCGCAGGCGCCATCCCGCGCCCGGGAAAATTTCCAACTGACAGCGCAGGCGCAACATGACGTTGGACCAGAGAAACCAATACCTACCTGGCCACGCCCTCCGCAATGAGATCATCTCCGCCTCTGGTCCAACCCCTTCCCCTCCAAGTGTATATAAGGCATTGCATTACCGCCATTAAACGAGACTTGATCAGAGCACTGTCTTGTCTCCATTTCTGGTGTCTCTTGTTCCCCAAATTCCCACTCCCTCCTCCAGGGCCTGCTTCGACGATCCCGCGGGCCGGGATATGCAATATTGAAGAAATAATAAAAAATTATTCATTGTTTATCTGAAATTAAAATCCAGCTTGGTGTGTTGTATTTTTACTTGCTAATTTTGGCAAACAAACCCTAATAGCAAACCTCCTAATGTAGAATTAATGTAATAAATACTTTTTGCACACACCTCTATTTGAAGGATGGTGGTCCCAGCTGGCAGATTCTCCTCAACAAGGACAGTGTACGTTGAATTGGTGAACACAGGACTATTATCATCAATGTCCAAAACCTTGATGGCAAGGGTTACAGTTGAATGACGAGGGTGTACTGCTCCATCTGTTGCCACAACAACAAGTTCATAGTAGTCCCTGACTTCTCTGTTAAGCTTCACTGCTGTGTAAATGCTCCCATTGGATGTGATACGAAAAAGATTATTAAAGTTACCCAAACTGTAGTGCACTTGACCATTTATTCCAGCATCGGGGTCTGTTGCCTATTAAATAAAATGAAAAGCAAGAAAATTCACATAAGTTTTGATGGGCTACTGTAAATGAAGGTAATACTTAACAAATTATGGCATTTTTCTGACCAAATATTATTTGGTTAAGGAGGAAATGACAATGACTATACAATGCAAAATATAAAACATGAAAAATATTATATTTAATATTCTTAATTTAAAATTAACAAAACAAAAACTTATAATGTAATTAGCAACAATAATACTATATTATGACAGAAAACTCATATTATAAAAGTACTGAATCTTTATGTCTTATGATTTTAATAGGTTTTGAATTCTAAAGTGAAAAAAATTTTGTTTTTAATTCATTTAACATAATCTACTGAGTGACAATTTAAGATTACATAGGTTTTTGCTCACTTTACATATTCATTTTATGTTTATATATGTTTAGTAATAATATTGTTATGCATTGTTTGTTTATAATAGATAACATTTTACTATGTTATGCCATTATTATTTATGTAATAATTTTATTATAATAAACATTAATCATATTTATCATAAATAATATTTATAAGTATAACCTGACTTAATCCTCATGATGTTATGAGTAAATATCATTAATCTCATTTTACGAATGAGAATACTGTGACTTATGAAAGGTTACACAAGAAACAAATATCTCAGTGTCCCATTTCTTAACACAATACTTCATATATAAAAGTACTTAACAAATGCTTGTTGAATTAATGAATGTTAGATGAAATGAAACAGATTTGAAACTAAATCTGTTCCAAAAGCCAAATAGGAGTAAAACTACAGTAACTGTAATGTACCTGCAAGGGACTCTTCTTCAACATTAGAAAACACATCTCTGCATAAGTGAGAATGTTTGATACCATAATATACCCATATTTACTGAAAATTTGAAGTCATGTAAAATCACTTTGCATCAAATAAAATGAGAAAATATTGAGTAAATATTCATCTAATGAAATGTAATAAGAAAGAATCTTAGCTAAAACTCAATTGTGATACTAATTATGAATCTCGCTATCAGCTACTGTATATTTTGCTTTGAAAAGTTCCATGTAAAAGAAACTGAAATAAATCTTAGAAACTGTAAAATGTTACATAATTATGCCCCAAACTGTCAACAGGAAAGGAAGGAAAACAAAACACTTGGCTGCCTTATGAGCCAGGGACACAAAAATCGCTCCAGGTCCACAAAGCGTGGAATGCAATACGATGTGTTTTAAGAGCACATATGCAGTTGTATATTCAGTTTTACAGGCACTGGTAAAGCATGCAGAATGGGGATGCTGAATGTTTGTGCCTTCTTTGAAACAAGAATGTCTAAGATGTGAAAATCATGTTTACAGTGGTGCTCCTGTATGTCATAATGCCAAGCATTTCAGCAGGATTTGTCTCTTTGACTCATGAAAACACAACTGCCCCTGGGAGTTTAATATCTCTGAGGTTTAGCTCTGAGAAAAGATAGAAGAATTGCAGAAATACCTGAAGAGAAAAAATGCTGTGACAGAATTGAATAGTTTCTGTTGATATAGCTTCTTTTACTTTTATACTTTGCCTAGAATTTGTCTTATGAATTATTGACAAACCAGTCAAGCTGATCATTTTAGTGAAAACAACAAACACTGTCTTCTCCCATTTTCACCAAAAAAAAGAGGGTGAACTCTTTTTTCTATTTACTTGAAATTACTCATCAAGTAAATAGAAAAAATTGTAGGCCAATAACAAAATATAAATCTGTCTTGTTTCATAACAATAATACCCTTAAAATCTCAGTCACTTTTTCTGTCTATGGAATATCTTAAGATCGAAAACTTTAATCATTTATGCAATTGGAAATTTAAATGACTCTTGTTCAAGTTGTTTTGACTGACTCATATGATTGAGTATCTATTATGGTAGAATGACTCAGTTTGACTGATGTGGCTGTATGTGTGTCTGTGTGTTTTATACATGTCCAGCTGTTTATATATCCACTAGGAAACATATCTAAATTAGTTTTGCTTTCGCTCCCATAGCAAATTATCACAAATTGAGCAGCTGACACAAAACAAGTTCATTATTTTAAAGCTTTATAGGTCAGAAATTCAAGATGGTCTCACCAGGGTTATGTTTCTTTCTGGAGACTCTAAGGAGAAACAACGTCCTTGCTCATTCAGGTTGTTGACAGAATTCGGTTGCTAGAGTTTGTAGAACTGGGATCCCCACTTCCTTGATGGTTGTCATGTGACGACCAATCCCGGTTTCTAGAGGTCCCCATATTCCTTGGCTCATGACACATTTCCTCCATTTTTAAAGCCAGCAATGGTGGTCAAGCCCCTCTCACATTCTTTGAATCCCTCCTTCCATCTTTTTCCATTTTATCTTTCTGACCTACTCTTCAGGTATCCTCCTCCACTTTTAAGGGCATGTAAGATTACATTACGCTCCCTTGGACAATCCAGGAAAGAATCCCCATCTCAGCATCTTTAACCTTGATATATGTGTTTACACACATGTGCAAGTGTGTGTATACTGCCATATATAAATATATAGCAATCTACATTTTATGATGATTTTATGATGGGATTTCTTTTTTTTTTTTTGAAACAGGTCTTGCTCTGTCACCCATGCTGGGGTGCAGTGGTGTGATCTAGTCTCACCTGAACCTTTACCTCCCAGGCTCAAGTGATCCTCCCACCTCAGCCTCCTGAGTAGCTGGCACTACAAGCACATGTCCACATGCCTGGCTAATTTTTTGTATTTTTATTAGAGACGGGGTTTCCCCTTGTTGCCCAGGTCAGTCTTGAACTTCTGGGCTCAAGCTATCCTCCCACTTTGGCTTCCCAAAGTGCTGGGATTACAGGTGTGAGCCATCTCACCCAGCGTGAGAGAGGTTTTTAGAGAAAATATCCAAGCAGATATTCATTAAGCAGACTGACAGTAAATGCTAAATGGGGCATCCTCATCAATAGAGTTTCATAATTTTAAATAATCAGTTTAAATTGGTAAAATTATGATATGTCAAGTACACACACACTTGGACTGAATCTATGACCACTTAATTCACTGAAGTCATAGCTACCATGACAAGAAGTATATTTGCTTATGGAATAAAATACTATAATATCCCCCAGAAAACTACTCTAAAAATTGTAAGGTGACTGAGACACACATCTAATGGAAACAAAGGGAATAGAATATAAAATGCAGAGCTATTTCCTTATCTATTCCTATGTCCCCATTAAATCAAGGAGCATAAATAAGGGAATGTAAGTTAAGCAACATGAGCTGGCTGAGCAAGGCAGTTTTACTTATTTACTATTCTAGATGAACATGTAGCTGTTAAACAAGATAACCAAACATAGAACCCCTCATTATCAGCAGTACTGTCAAGAACTTTGCATTGATGTTTAATATCTAGTCAAGCAGTTCAGTGTATGATGCTATAATGAAAAGATATATCTTCCTAGAAATCAATTAAAAGTTAATTAAATTTGTTAATAAGAAAAATAACACATCTCTTTTCCCCTTGTACTACATCAAAGCAATAAACAGTAATAGCTGCAACTTTATAATCATCTGTCCATGGTTAACACATTTTTGTAATATACACGTTACTATGGGGCCTGATTTGTGGCTACTAACTTGTGAATGCATATTGCTGGTAAATTGGCTGATAGCCTGTAGTCAAATAAAGACCTCACTGGACAGAACTTTGAATAATTTCCAGAAACACCAGTCACAAACCTTATTGATTAATACCAAAGTTAGAGTATATGAAAGAAAACCACACAATTACTTAAGAAAAAAATTCAGACAATGTTCAAGGGAATTTATTGAACAAAGATTTTTTGTATAATTTTTGAGAACCAATTTTATACCATGCCACTTGAAAAGGGAGCCGGGAAATATATTTCTTAAACACTAAATTCATTCCCCACCCCTTTTTTTCTCATTATCTTTTTAGAATGGTATGTTAACAATTCTTTCCATCTATAAAAGTGAAAGTTCATTACTGGGATTGCTACCCTGGGGGTTACCAGTACTATAGAGAAGACCTAAAAGCATGCCTGTATGGGTGGAATATATTGGGATAAAACCTCAAAGTAGAGGTTGATGTTTGCACTCCTTCCATTGAGAAGTCCCTGGGTAGATTACTTGTGTAATTTACAATGACTCATTTCCATTTAAAATATGTCAAATATCCATTTAGATTAATTATTTAGATAGAAAGTTATATGACAAAAATCAGCCCCAACAAAATAACTTGAGGAGAAAACCAAAATGTTATAGCTATTATAAAGGTGTAAACTACCGTGTAGCACCTAATTGGCCCCGTGTGAAGCTGAGAGAGTGCTTTGCTCTACCTTTTGTTTGTCCTTTACAGTAATTTAAGAGGTCATGTACATCTTTCTCACTTTGAAGTGGGAACCATCAAAGCTGTTGATCAGGGAGGTTGGGCAGTGCATCCTTCATGACATTACTAGTGAAAATACATTTTTAAAATCATTATCGATTAACTTCAAAAAGATACACGATAGTTGTCTTTTTTTCTTTTAAGAAGCTGAGTTATTTCAAGGGCTGTGATTATTAGTGTAAAGGAGACAAGCAATTGAAAGACTCAAAATACAGGTAAATTTTTTCACTCTGCACACAAATGCCTCATAATCATTATTGAACAATGGCAAGTAGACTTACTGACTAGAAGGTAACTTGCATAACTTGAGTTAAAATCACTAAAAAATAACCAGAATGAATAGCTTTTCATTAAATATTGGAACTTTCAAATACTAGTCCCTAGAAATCTAGAAAACACACAATTAACACAATTTTTCAAGGGATCAACTATTACTCTAAGATACACGATAAGCTACATTTTATCCTAGCATTCAAGGCTCTACCTGGTCTTGTTCTAACCTATCTTTATGCACTTATGTCCCTCAACTAACTCCCTGACACAAACTCTATGTTTTAGTCAAAGGAATATACTTATGGTGTCAATCAGCTACCAA